CCAATTGCATTCATGAAATTACACTAGTTGGATTTTAGATGGTAACAATTTTAGGTGGTTGGTCAATTTAGAAAAGCGATTCCATGCAAAATTGAGGAGAGATTAATATTTCTTCTGGGCTAAAAAATGTATAGCAACACCAACATTGTATCAGGAATTTTAAAGACATATTGTTTTTAAAAATTTTGTGATTTTGTTGTTGAATTTTTATTGTGGCATAAATGTTAAGAAAGTAATACTTAACAATAAAATTTTAAAAATATTAAAGATGTGTAGATTAACTTGTTAAAATAACTGAACATTGATATGATGAAATGAGAAAAGACTTTTAAAAATAGGAAAATGTATGGCAACACTTATCACTCTACTGAGAATTTTAAAAAAAACTGTAATTTTAATGCTGAAATTTGAGTGGTATAAGTGAAAAGAAAGTGATGTTTAATAATAAAGATGAAAAGACAAAAATGTTTTGTAAGTAGGAGTGAGTCCAAGTGTGGACTAATAAACTGCAAGCTCAGTGAGAACATAAAAAAACTTTGACCCTTTGACCCGCAGTGGTAACGCCCTGAAACCACGAATTTTCGAATTTTTTTCTCCTCTTCCTTCTGAAATTTTTGAGTGAAAATCAATTGATTACTGATCTTTTACCTCTAAACAACACAAAATGACTGCAAAATCATACATGTTTTAGGTCTTAGTACTTCAAATCGGATGCCTTTTAAAATTCGTTTTCGATGAGACAAAATAACTTCCTTTTATTAATATTAACAACTTTAAATTTCAAAAGTTATTCACCGCACATCATGATTTCTATCATAAACAATAAAAAATAGCAATAATTAAACTGCATATATTAAAAAAACCCACTATATGTATGGCATTTGCTTTGTGGTTTCAGGGGCGCGACCACTGCACTTCACAATACTCTAGAGGTTCGAACCACTGCTCTTCACAATGACATTTGCTTGCTTCTCAAATAGGAATGTTAATTTTTACCCAGATATAGATACGGAGTTTTGAAACCACAGAGTTATTTTAATACTAAACAATGATTTCCCTGCCCTGTAAAAATGTCTTTCTTTTCCAGAGACTTTTCTCTGACCTCAACACGCTTGCTCTCCAAGCTAACGAAACGTGGAATGTGGGTCTATGCATGTACAAAAAAGACAAAACATGCTTTGAACAGTGTCACAAAAAATGTGTTCCTTAAAATTTTTTTAAAAAAAAAAAAAAAAAAAAAAAAAAAGAGTTTTTTTTATTCTTATTTTACTGAGCTTTATTCATTTACCAAACGTCCTTATTATTAGGTACTTATATTTTCATGCTATAGAAAAATACATGTTATTTTTCATTTTTATTACGATTCACTTTGTAAAATAATGTAAAAAATTATTATTATGCATTCCTACATAATTTTTTTTAAATATGTAAATTTCGTCATTTATTGGAACGCGCACAGAGAAAGTAAGTTCCCCCTACTACTTAGGTAGTTTCAAAGTCCTACCGGCGGTGGTTTCCACAGTGCGACTACCACCCAAAACAAGGCAGAGTACACTTTTTTTAAAAATATATTATTTGTCTCTAGAATCATAATATTCAATTTCTAGAGTTTTTAGTTAAAAAAAAATTATAAAAATATTATTGCGCACATCAAAGGGTTAACACAGCCTCTGGTTTGATGTTAAAATATGAATCCACTCAGATTTTCTTATTTTTCTGTTTGCTAATGTAAATATTACAAAGTTCAAGGCTTCTGCAGGGAATGAAGATGAAGTAGAAAAATTATGAAAAAAATCATGAGTAATATACTAATCAATCAAAGCATAACTTTTGAGGAGCAGTTCGTATTCATATGACATTTTAAGAAAATGTAACGGTTTTACCATACCATTAAAAAATTGAAAAATTTCAAGGCTGTTGCATGAAGTGAAGATAAAGTAAGAAAAAATTTTTTAAATCTATGGTGATGTATTAGTCAATACACTTTTGAGGGACACTTTGAGGGACATTTCAATTATTGCAATATAATTTTTCACTCCACCCTGGAGACCAGCTTTAATGCAGCCACCCCTAATTTTTGCCGCTTGGAGTTCCCAAATATTATAAAATTTTTGCTATCTCAATTGCACCTGCTCTGGTGTTGGCTTCTGTATAGGGCTAGCATTTTTCTATTTGACCTAAACAATAAGTGATGCCCACAATGTTGCCATGTCTACCTATCATCTTACTAGATATAAACTAATGATCTGAAATCCAAAAATTGCCAAAGTCCTGATAATTCCGGACATTGGTCTTTGTACTGTATTATATACTGACATGTATAATCACTGATAACTGGTCTGTTATAAATAAGTGTAAATTTATGTGCATTACTATGAATTTGTTTACACTTATTTTCCACTTAGTCAGATTTTAGAAGTGCATTGTTTATCATATTTTAGTGAAATTATAGATATAAATATTCAAATGTAAGTAGCTTTGGTAGAAAAGAAATTAGACTTTGAAGTTTGCCACTTTCCATGTTACTTTTACAACTTGGGAGTTTCAGTTTGAAAATATTTAATCTTACATAAATATATAAAAGTCAAATTTTAAATAGGAAAATAATTCAAATAAAATACTGAAGAAAACATTAAATACTGAATGCTGCTGTAGCGAGTACTTGGTGACATAATCACAACATTTGCTTAAGTATCACCAAGTTCACTGACTTTTATAAATATCTTGAACTTTTGATTTCGAGTTCTTGTGGTTAATGAAGGATGCAAAAATTCTGGGAACCCTTTCCAACTGCAAAAGGTCTACATTAGGAGACTAAATATATGTTAGTGATCAGAGATTGCAGTCAAGATTGTCTAATATTTAGCACAGAGAAAAGGTTTGCCTTTCAAGCTTAGCTTTTATTCATCTGATGGTGATTTATTTCCAATCTGAGTGTTTGAGTTCTTTCACCCTCAGTTTCCAGATGCACTGCATATATTTTGAAACTGAAAGAATTTTTCCTATTTATACAAAATTTTTTGGCTTATTTATCATTATTAGAATTATTATAATTATTTCTGATTATATTGAGTGTTAACGTTTTTATAACATTTGAATGTTAACTTTTTTTTTTCTACTATCAGACAAATTTAGTACTAACCCATTGGACATAACAATAGTGAATACAGCAGTTTGAATAATAATAATAATATTTTACACATTAGCTTTTTAGTTTGGTTTCCTAAATGGCTTAACTACTTATATCTCTACATTAATTTTGACTTGCTACTTATTATTAACATGTTTTGAAAAAACACTGCCTTCTTCCATATCATACTTTTATAAAAAGTATTGCCCCTTTTATACCTAAAGTATCAATTATTATTTAGAAACCATCTATATGACTAATATTCAGGAAACTAAAGCAAATATTCAAGAATAGCAAACTGTGGAATCAACAGCAGAGAGCGTTAATTTTTTCATACTTTAAAATTTATTCATACTACCAAGAGCAACAATTTGACATAATTTTTGTCAGGGATAAGAAAAAGAATTTGATAAAATATATCTATATCATTGTACTTTTTCTAAAACCAAAAGTGGACTGCTTTATTGAAAAGCAGATCATACCTAAAACCAAAGAACAAAACTGAAAAGAACCTTTCTTCTACCGTGTTTACAAATGGTATAAGAGTTTTATTACAAGCAAAACAGATTTGATGACAAAGAATTTGAAAATACAAACTGCAGAAAATGTTTGGTAAAATACTGGCTTAAACATTCAAAATTAGCATGTATGATCTTTCTACTGGTTAACTAAACAAATATAATTAAGAATCCAATGTTTTCAAGCACTCAATATAATGCATACCTATAAAATGATGATTACAATATCATTTAATGACAAATGATTATTTTAGTTTTTCCTCTTCATGATACATTTCATAGCTGACAAGGGATAAATTAGTTTTCCCTCTGCATGATTCTTTTCATAGCTGACTGTGGTAAACTATAGTAATAAGTTTTGTTCATTTTCGGTTCATTTCGGTCAGGATTTTCCTGTAGATTATTTTTTTAAACGTTATTCTCACCATGGAATGAAAGCATTCCAAATAATGATTATACTATTATTAAACTCAAACTCATTTTGAATGCAATATTGACAAATTATATCATGCACTTTCTACGGGAGAAAAAAATAAATTTTAAAACTTTAATGCAACTTTCAATTCTTATCAGACATAATTTCCGAACATAGCATATTGTACTTATTATATGGTAGTTTTCCCTTATCTTATAGAATTTGAAGTATCCTTTTTTAAAAACAGAAAGCAACATCCACATTAAATCTTTAAGAATAATACATGAAATACACATAATATCTATGGTTTACCCCTCAATTTCTTTAAAATCTTCTCCTGTATAAATGTAAACAGTTTTTGAAAACATAAATCTGATTAGTAATTAGTACATTTTCAATAAGTAAAATATAAAAATACAACATATGTAACAACATAAATAACTGTAAATTGAAAAGAAAATGTTTACTTCTACTAGGTAAGAAAGGTAAAACACAATCAAAATCAGTATAATGTTTTAATAATATTCCAGAGTTACTAAAGAACTCTACTCAGCAGCATTTTGAAGCCAAATAAGTTTAAATAATAATAATGATTAAGAATTACCCACAAGGAATAAAAATTAACTTTAATATCTAATAACCTTTATTCTCTGTTAATAAAACTGTCCCTATGAAAAATGCATTTTGAGCATTAATTATGAACAAAAAGAAAATTAATGTGAAAAGCTGTAAAATTATACAGTAATAAACCAAATAAAATTTATACAATTCATCAAGCTTTGCAAATAGCATTTAAATAAACAAAGCTTGATTAAATTTAAGCACAAATAAATTTTTAAAATGTACAGTACATTTCATGCATTAAAAAAAAAGCTTGTAATATAAAAAATACATTTTACTTGCACTACTTGATAAGTATTATAATCCTTACTTTTACCTTGGTTTTAACAGATACTCATTCATAGCTCGCAAAGGAGTAATAAAATTTCTCTCAGTGAATGTTACAGCATAATCCACCTTCTTTCGTTCTTCTCTTCTGGTACCTAATACGAAAATAGGAATGAAGTTTTCATTTGAAAATTATACAATGGCATACTATGATACGGATTGTATAAAAAAATTGCTAAAACTCGCTAGGTGTAAATCAACAACACAATTCTAAAACTGTACTGATAGCTAAAAAGGTGTACAGAAACTGTAAAATTTGCATAAAATCAAATTTTCTAGCATTTTAATCAAAAATACACACCCCTCAAGATAATGCAAAAAAAAATCACATTTTAAGATATTGCATTTTGAAATACTGGCAAAATGTCATAAGTCAGGGTTATAAACAGCAATTTTCCTTACAGTGTGAATGAATGAAAATAATATATCATTTACATAATAATTAAGTATTATGCATAAACCTTCCTAAAATAAAATTTATTTTCAAAACTATTAAAAAGTACTTATAAATTGGTACTTTAAAAAAAAAGTGATAAATAAATACAATTACCTTAAGTTAAAAAAAAATGTAAAACACTTTCCATGTACTTTTACAACTTGGGGTTTCAGTTTGAAAAATATTTATTCTTACATAAATATTAAAAGTCAAATTTAAATAGGAAAATAATTCAAATAAAATACTGAAGAAAACATTAAATACTGAATGCTGCTGTAGCGAGTTTTTTTTTTTGGGGGGGGAGGCCACATAACTTAAAGATCAAGATAATGCCATAAACATGGTGAATGCATTCTTTCTATACATCTGCATAATAAAAACTAAGCTTATAAAATTTTAAAAACAACTAAAATTAAATTTTGATGATAATTTATTCATTCAAACAACAAATATACAACAGAAACACTAATGAGGTATGCAAGCATAAAAGTAAAATCTCAATACATAAAATAAACAGCACATGTAATCAAATTAAATGATAAAATTTATTTTAAATACTCAAATAAACTAAAATTCACCTCCTCTCTGCTTAAATTACTTAGAGATAGAATATAGACACTGAAATATTGGGTTTTAATGAAAGTTTCCCACCACTGTAAATATCAACTGTGCAAAAAGTTCATGTTGGCATGTTAATCATATTTTGTTAAACGATTTTTGGTACTTGAAAGAAAGACTTGCTCTAGAACACTGCTGTGAAATTTGTAAAAAAATAACATTATCAGTAAGTATAAGGTGTCTGAAATGGAACTATCACGCTACCAGATTAGAACCATCATTTACTTCCAGTTCCGTCGCAAAAGGTCAGCTAGAGAATGCCACTAAATTATGTGTACAGCTGGTACTAATGCTGTATCATATGACACTGTGAAAGTTTGGTACCAAAAGTTTAAAAACAAGGACTATGACATTCAAGAAGCAGAGCACTCTGGCCAGCCTACTGATGTTGATGAGACCTGCCTGCGAGAACTTGTGGTAGAAGATCAGTACACAACCACTCGAGAGCTTGCTAAGGTGTTAAACATTCATCAAAGTTCATGTGGATATGAAGTCCACAAGAACTTAGATGTACGAGAAAGAACTGCTTGAGCTCCATCTGAAACAATGACTCATTTTCCTCAAGTGATATGCATTTGCTGAGATTTACACGGTGTTATATTTTAAAAGCAGCTCTTCCAAGTTTTAAATTTTATTATTGGAATTTATTTAATGTTACTGAAAAATGCCTGCATGACAGTACTATTCAACTATCAGCAAGAACATGCAAGACTGCAAACAGCTTAAATAACCAACCAGAAGTTTCTGGAACTGGAATATTTTACCTTTTCTTCTATATAACACAGAACATACACTAAGAGAGGGCCATATTTTCTGTCCTTTTTATTGTGTTAATTTGCTTTGATGCATGTAAATCACCAAGAATTTAAGAATTAACATTTATCTCTTAATTATTATTTTAATATGTCCCAGTCACAAAGCACATACATAAAAAACCAAGAGGTTTTCATATGAAAACTGGGAGTTTCCAGGAGGTTAATGAACTACTTATCACGCAATTCTGATGCAAAATATTGATATAGAAAATTTTACGTTCTTTAGTTAATTTTATTTTGTCAATTTCTTACACTTTAAATAAAAAAAAAGGTGATAAGAAAAGCTTTTGCTTGCAAAAACACTTTTAAATATGATTAAAATCAAATTCACAATTAATGTGCATATTATTGCACGAGTAAATTTAGAAATACACCATACTGATGCAAAACAAAATTAAATGAAAGTATTAAATGATTAAGCACTGGTTGAATCTTCAAAAAGAGTCCTACAGATATCTGCAGTAGATTAAAACAATTCAGATCAAATAAAATTTCATACGAAAAGTTATGCTTAAAGTCATTTAGGGTGAGGGATAGAGTTTCTAGAATTTAAGTTTCATTAATTCAATAAATTTCATTCATTACTGAAGAAAATTTTCCTTGGTAAAGGTTAAAATTTAAAAACCAAGGGATTTGGTGATCTACTAGCAAACTAGGAGATGTCGAAAACTAGGAAATTTCACAGCTATGAAATCAAGCTTGAAGACACCTTTTTCAGACTCTCTACTAAGCAAGAGTTTTATGTATAACTTTTTGCTTGTAAATTTGGTCATGAGAAATAGTCATTTAGTGAACTTATTTCAAAAATAGAGAAATTCGCTATTTCCTCAAAGCATATCAAACTACCAGGGTCTTACTATATCTTTTTTATTTCAGTCAACAGTACACCAGTTATGCTAGCTACCAGATAACCAAGAAAGTTCATGCAGCTTTTGCTACTCATCAATAACAGCCCACAAAAATTTAAACACCCATTTCATTCTTCAAAGTCATCACCTTTGGCTTCAATTACATGTTCCCAATGAGACAGAAGCTTATAAATGGCCTTTTTGGAAAAAAATCCTTTTTTCTGGAGTTTAAGAATTGCGATACAGCCTTTAAAACATTGTAGCATTTTCAGAACTGCCTTTTCCACAGGTGGTAATCCATGACCAAAAATAGGTAATGGTCTGATGGACAATGTGCAAGGAATAGGGTGGCTGTGGCAGAAATTTCTTGCCCAATGTTTTGATCACCTCTTCGGCCACTTTTGCCATATGAGGTATGGCTTTATCATTGAGAACTCTTCTGTTGACAAATGCTGGCTGCTTCTGGTGTGATGCAGCTGAAATGCTTCACAGTTCTCATGAGTACACTTTGGCTGTTATGGTTTTAGTTGAAATGAACCATCTAGTTGAAATGCTTCCTCTATATACAGCATTTCATGTTTTCAATAGTGCTGTTGATGGCATGTTGTGACATTAATAAGTGCTCTCATAAAAATACATGTCAGAGCTCTTGGAAGTTAAGTAATTGATCAATGTGAACTAAAATTCCTTTTCTTAATCCTTCTTAATGTACTCCCTTAAAGTCCAGTGATCTTAGAAGCTGTTGCATACACAATTAATTCACTTCCCATAAAAATCTGAACCAAGATAGCACCACACGATCATGCTTTATCAACTGCAAGTATCGTATCAGAAATATGCAGATGAATATACAAACAAAAATATAATGATCAGGGGAGGCATTCATTGTTGTTCATGCCCATAACAATGAAATACTTTCTCTATAATGACCTTGTTCTATGATACTTTCCTCTTGATATCAATTCTCAAGCCTCCATATCAAAACATTTCAAAAATCCTTTTTGAAATTAAATCAAGTACTTAATTTTTAATTGCACTGATTCTGGTTCTACCTTAAATGCTCATTGCTCCAATTCAGTTAGATGATAATGAATGGGGCAAAAGAACACAGCTTGTGTGTTCTTGTAAACTGCCCATTCTCATGAAGGCTACATGATAAAATATGCTGAGATACAAGCATTCTTATGCTAGCATGAAGGTTTGTAGCCAGTAGTAATGCTGTTAATGTTCTACAGTGTCTCTTATTTGAGAACAGAAAGGATCATCTACTGCAGAAGCAATGCTAAAGAATCCAGTTCCGAAACCTCAAAGGACAATTTGGTCACTTTGATTATGATTTCACTGTCAACTAATGATGTCAAAATAAAAATTAAGCTCTCTTGCAATATCAGACTTTTTGCACTAGCTTGTGACTTTGCTAAGATTTTCCTTTCACCATTCAGACATCTTTTTTTAACTCATGATTTCTAATCAAACCGTCTATTTCTCAAAATGCCCTCAGATTGGAATCTGAAGAGTAAGTTAGAAGTGTTCTATTTCAAATAGACTTTGGAATTGCATTTGCTTTGACTTTGGAATTGCATTTTATGCAAATTTAGATTACATATTTAAAACCAGCATTAAAATTTGTTTGTAAGACAAGCACACTTTGTCTTATTTCCAAATAAGAAGTTTGAAATGGCTGTTTTTATAATTCTTCCCCATTTTTGAGCTGCAAAATAATGAGGAAGAACATTCATTCTTTATTCTAACTCACAGAGTATGCTTAAATGTTTGAATTATGAAGCAGTGATAACTGAATGTAATTATTACATTTATGAAAATTATGACTATTAATTTTCATTTTGCTCTCCAGGATAGTGAGGACTCCAAGAATGCATTTTGCATTGTTGGATTTGTTTCACTGCTGATGTTCTCTTTGATAATGGTGTTCTTTATACAGATATTAAAAAAAAAAAAAAAAAAAAAAAAAAAAACATTATCAAACAGAAAATTCTTTTAAAACGGCAGCAATTCTAAGGCTTGCTAGTTAAGGCTTGTGAAGCCAAGAATCATACTCTCAAACCTGAGCAGATACTGAAAAGAAAACACTTTTATGGCTCACACATCTGCATCTGTTAAACAGAACATCAGTATGCACAAATTATAATTTCTTTTATATGGTGCCATTTTAATTACAATAAATTGGAAAAGATTTACACTTCAGTATTCTTCAGTAAGCATAATGTTGCGAATATACTGTCTTATTACCAACATGAAGACATTTTTTAATGTCTTAATGTTTTTTCCCAATAAATTTTAAATAGTGCATTTTAAACATTATGCATATTAGAACTGTTATAAATAAACTTTATTTCATTTTTCTGTGGTAGTTGCCA